GGAGGAGGAGGAGGAAGAGAAGGAAAAGGAGGAGGAGGAGGAGGAGGAGGAGAAGGAAGAGGAGGAAGGGCAGGAGGAAGAGGAGGAGGAGGAGGAGGAGCAGCAGGAGGAGGAGGAGGACGAGGAGGAGGAGGAGGACGAGGAGGAGACACCCCCCCGAGCGGGTGGCGGGCGGCGCCCACCCGCCCGCCTTGAAAGATCACGGCGGCCACAGCCCCCCCCCCTGCCCGGGCGGCGGCAGGCCCCTCGGCCGGGGCGGCGCGGGGCTCCCCGCCGGGCGCGGCTCGCCCCAGGCGCGCGCCGACGGGCGAGGCGGAAATGGTCGCCGCCGTGGTCGTCGTCGTCGTCGTCGTCGTCGTCGTCGTCGTCGTCGTCGTCGTCGTCGTCGTCGTCGTCCTCGCCGTCGTCGCCGCTTCGTCGTCGTCCTCGTCGCCGTCGCCGTCGCCGTTGCCGCCGCCGCCGCTGCGTCGTCGCCGCCGCCGCCGCCGCCGCCGTCGTCGTCGTCGTCGTCGTCGTCGTCGTCGTCGTCGTCGTCGTCGTCGTCGTCGTCGTCGAGGGCCTCCGTGCCCCAGGTGTGCTCGCATTGTGGCGAGATCGCGCCGGCATGTTTTCGGCCGTTTTCGGCCTCCGGGGGGCCTCGCCGGTCGGTTTGGCCGGCGAAAGATGATTCGGGATGAAAGACCAGCCCTGGGGAAGGGGGCGGGCCTTCGAGGACGCGTATTAGCAAAAATCTGAACGTCGCATGTCTGGGTCCTTTCCTGATACCCAGACCTCCTGGCGTCGTGAAAAAATCACGTCGGGAGGTTTTTCGCAATTTTCGGCCTCCGGGGGCCCTCCCCGGGCCTCGGGAGCGTCAAAAAACGACTCGGGATGAACAACCGGTCCCGGGGAAGGGGTCCAGACCTCTGGGGGTCGACGTCGTGAAAAAATCACGACGTCGGGGGTCTGGGTAGGTAATTAACTCCTCCCTGTCGCGCCACCGGACGTGTCCGTAGTCTGGGCTGGGCGTTTTGCTGGAGACTTCTTCGCCAATGATGGCCCTGAAGCTTGATTTTTGCAACGGCTTCAAGGACGGAGCCCGGGTGGTTCTCAAAATGTGGTTCTCGCCTGAGCGCCGCGCGCGTTCATTTTTATAGGTTGTAACAGCTTCAAGGATGGAGCCCGGGTGGTTTTCAAAATGTAGCTCTCGCCTCAGCACCGCGCACATTCATGTCAACAGTCTGCAACAGTTTCAAGGATGAAGGCCGGTTCGTTTTCAACATGTGGCCCTCGCTTCAGCCACATCCGTACGACAGACCTTCACCATATCGATCGGAGCGTGCCATACGACCCAACCCTTACCGTTCGATGCAAAACCATCAATCTGGTGCACATCCATCTGACCCAACCCTCACCATCCGATGTTTCATGTATTCTTTGGTGTACACCCACGCGACTCGAGGAGGAGGAGGAGGATGAGGAGGAGGAGAGATGAGGAGGAGGAGGAGGAGGAGGACGTTTAGGTTCTCCTCCTCCTTCACCAAGATAGCCCTTCTCCGTTCTTCGTGTAATCACGATTCGGTGCACATCCATCCGACCCGACCCTCACCATCCGACGCCAGATCTGCAATTCGGTGCACTCCATCCGACCCAACCCTCACCCCCCGATGGAAAAAGCAAAAACTCGGTGCGCATGTGCTGGTCTTCAACATCGACCCTCCTCCTCCTCCTCCTCCTCCTCATTCCAATTCGCAGACAGGCTTAGAACACCTGAATCATTGATGTTAGTGCCCCCCTCCACCCCGCGAGCGTGGGAGGAATACGAGAAGGATGATGATGATGCTGATGATGATGATGATGATGATGATGATGATGATGATGATGATGATGATAATGATGATCCTGATTATGATTATGATGCTGATGCTGATGCTGATGATCATACTGTTGCTGACAATGATGATGATGACGATGACGATGACGACGATGATGATGATGCGGAGAATGATGATGATGGTGATGATGATAATGATGATGCTGATGGTGATCATGATCATGATGATGATAATGATGGTGATGCTGATGCTGATGATGATGACGATGACGATGATGATGAGGTTGCTGATGGTAATGATGATGATGATGATGATGATGATGATGATGATGATGATGATGATGATGATGATGATGATGATGATGATGATGATGATGATGATGCTGGTGACGATGATGATGATGATGATGATGATGATGATGATGATGATGGTGATGATGATGCTGATGATGATGATGGTGGTGGTCGTGGTGATGGTGATGATGATGATGATGATGATACTGATGATGGTGATGCTGCTGCTGCTGATGGTGTTGCTGCTGGTGATGACGATGATGCTGATGATGGTGATGCTGCTGATGGTGTTGCTGTTGGTGATGACGATGATGCTGTTGATGATGATGACGATGATGATGCTGCTGATGATGATGCTGATGATTATGATTATGATGGTGATGATGCTGATGACGATGCAGATGGTGATATGATGATGATGGTGGTGATGATGATGCTGATGCTGATGCTGATGATGATGATGATGATGCTGATGATGACGATGATGATGATGCTGATGATGATGATGATGATGATGATGATGATGATGGTGATGGTGATGGTGATGGTGGTGGTGATGCTGCTGATGGTGATGACGATGTTGATGCTGCTGATGATGATGCTGCTGCTGATGATGATGATAATCATGGTGGTAGTGGTGATGATGATGATGATGATGATGATGATGATGATGATGATGATGATGATGATGATGATGATGATGATGATGAGCAGGAGGAGGAGCGGAGGAGGGGAGGAGGAGGCGATAAGGAGAGAGAGAGGAGAGGAGAGAAGGAGGAGGAGGGAGAGGAGAGGGAGGGGTAAGGAGAGGGGAACTGGAGGGTCCGAGGAGGGCGCGGAGGCGATACGCGAGAGGAGGGAGGAGGAAAACGGAGGCGGCGGGGGGGGAAGGCAGGATGGAGGAGGAGGAGGAGGAGGAGGAGGAGGAGGAAGATTCGGGAGGAGGAGGAGGAGGAGGAGGAGGAGGAGGAGGGCGGAGGAGCGCGAGGAGACGGGGGAGGAGGAGGAGGAGGAGGAGGAGGATGAAGGAGGAGGAGGAGGAGGAGGAGCAGGAGGAGACGGGGAGTAGGAGGAGAAGGAGCGAGGAGGAGGATGAGGAGGAGGAGGAGGGGGAGGGGGAGGGGGAGGGGGAGAGGAGGTGGAGGAAAAACAGGATAACGGATGAGGGAGGAGGAGGAGGAGGAGGAGGAGGAGGAGGTGGAGGTGGAAAAGGAGGATGAAAACGGAGGAGGAGTAGGAAGTGGAGTAGGAGCAGGGGGAGGAGGAAGAGGAGGGAGGATGAAGAGGAGGAGAAGAGGAGGAAGAGTAGAAGAGGATGAGGAGGAGAGGATGAGGAGGAGGAAAGGAGGAGGAGGGACGAAGGGAGACTGGCGGCCTGGCGCCCCCCCGGCCAGCCGCAGGAGCGCGGCCGCGAGCTTGAGGACGCGAAGGTTGCGCGGGCGGAGGCCGAACGGCGACTGGAGGACGGTGCGGTGGCGGGGCTCCGACCTCCAACGTCTCGAGGAGCAGAGGAGGAGCATAGGAGGAGGAGGAAGAGGAGGAAGAGGAGGAGGAGGAGGAGGAGGAGGAGGAGGAGGAGGGGCAGGAGGAGCAATTGAGGACGATAATGATGAGGAGGAGCAGCATGAGAGGAGGAGGAGGAGGAGGAGGAGGAGGAGGAGGACGAGGAGGACGAGGAGGAGGAAGAGGAGGAGGAGGAGGAGGAGAAGGAGGAGGAGGAGGAGGAGGACGAGGAGGACGAGGAGGACGAGGAGGAGGAAGAGGAGCAGCAGAGGAGCAGAGGAGCAGAGGAGCGGAGGAGGAGGAGGAGGAGGAGGAGCAGAGGAGGACGAGACGGAGGTGTTTCGTAGTTTTCGTCTTGGGGGACCTCGCTAGGACCCAGGACCGTTCAGAATAAACGATTCGGGGTGAAGCGCCGGCCCCTGGGAATAGGTGCAGACCTCCGGGGACCCCGCCTTGAGAAATTTACGACGTCGGACGTCTGGGGGAGGCAGCGCTCGCAGGGGTCGGCCAATCCCCTTTGGCTGACCCGGGTGTGGGAACCACGTCGGGCTGATTCCTTTTTTACGCCCTCACCTCCCCCTCTCCTCCTCCTCCTGCCCCTCCTCCTCCTCCTCCTCCTCCTCCTCTTCCTCCTCCTCCTCCTCCTCCTGCTCCTCCTCCTCCTCCTCCTCACCTGGCGCGGGTGTGGGCGCATACCGCGCAGCTGGCCAGGCTTCGCGACAGTGCCCTGGCCGACCCGGGCTTCGGGCTGACCCTGGCCGGTGCGTGCGCCCCGTTCTCCCTGTGTCGTACGTTCTGGTCGGGAGCTGCTCCCGTTTTCTGCCGGAGGTTTGCGGCTGCTCTCCGATGCCTCTTGGCTTTTTCCTGCGTTTTTTCCCCTTTCCGTGGCATCGCTCGGACGTGTGCAGTTTTCCTCGGCGGAAGCCATCAAAAACCATCCTGGACCCTCAAGCAAAACAAAGACGCACGAAACCGAAAAGCGCACGGGAAGTGGACGTCCGAGCGACGGCAAGTTTCCGAGGCGGGGATTTATGCATGACCACCGCCCGGGCTTTGGGCTGACCCTGGTGAGTGCGTTCCCCGTTCTCCATTTGTCGTGCTTTCTGTCGGGAGCTGCTCCTGTTTTCTGCTGGAGGTTTTTGTTGGCTGCTCTCTGCTGCCTCTTGGCTTCTTCCTGCGTTTTCCCCCCTTGTTCCGTGGCATCGCTCGGGCGTGTGCATTCTTCCTCAGCGACAGCCATCAAAAACCATCCTGGACCCTCACGCAAACAAAAAGACGCACGAGACCGAAAAACGCACGGGAAATGGACGTCCCAGCGACGGCAAGCGTCCGACCCAGACCCCCGACGTCGTGATTTTTTTACAACGTCGACCCCCAGAGGTCTGGACCCCTTCCCCGGGACCGGTTCTTCGTCCCGAGTCGTTTTTCGACGCTCCCGAGGCCCGGGGAGGGCCCCCGGAGGCCGAAAATGGCGCAAAACCTCCCGTCGTGATTTTTTCACGACGCGAGGAGGTCTGGGGAGGCGGGGATGTTTAGGCATCGCCACCGCCCGGAGGATCGACCTTCGGAGGCCTCGCGAGGGGCGGTGGAGCTGTATATGGCGTCGGGGCCCCCGGGGCCCACCGGTGTCCGCATCCGCCGCCTGCGTCGGATCCACAGGAGGCTGTTTCCTATGACCCAGACCTCCTGGCGTCGTGAAAAAATCGCGACGGGAGGTTTTGCGCCATTTTCGGCCTCCGGGGGCCCTCCCTGGGCCTCGGGAGCGTCAAAAAACGATTCAGGACGAAGAACCGGCCCCGGCGAAGGGGTCCAGACCTCTGGGGGTCGACGTTGTGAAAAAATCAGGACGTCGGGGGTCTGGGTCTCTTGGCCTTGACGTGAGGCCCCGCCTTCTTTTTCCTTCTTATTCCTGGGGAGGCGGTGGAGCTGTATATAGCGTCGGGGCCCCCGGGGCACAACGGGACCCACATCCACCGCCCGCTGGGGTCCCAGGGCGTCGGTTGTTCCACAGGAGGCTGTTTCCTATTCTTTTGGGTAGCGGCTGTTACCCGGGGGAGGGTCCTATTATTTTGGGTAGCGGCTGTTACTGGGGGGGGGGGGTCCCAGGACGTCGGTTCCACAGGAGACTGTTTCCTATTGTTTTGCCTGATCCCGGGGCTTTGCCCTCTCTTGGCCTCGACGTGAGGCCCCGCCTTCTTTTTCCGTCTTCTGTTCATTAAGGCTGTGCGCGGCCCGCTTAGCTTCGACCGGAAGAGGCTCGCCTCGCTCTCGACCCGCGGATCAAAAAACAGTTTCCTATTATTTTGGGTAACGGCTGTTGCCCGGGGGGCGGGGGCGGGTAACGGTGATGGCGGCCGCGGCGTGCGCCCGCCAGGGTGCGCCCGCGCCGTCGGCACATCAACTGCTATACCTGCTGAGAGGAGGGGGGACCGCCCTCCCCCCAGAAAGAATTTCGAGCACCAGAGAAGTACCAAAATTCGAGGGCGCGACCCAGACCTCCTCGCGTCGTGAAAAAAACACGACGGGAGGTTTTTCTCTATTTTCGGCCTCCGGGGGCCCTTATTGGGCCTCGGGAGCGTCAAAAAACGACTCAGGACGAAGAACCGGTCCCAGGGAAGAGGTCCAGACCTTTGGGGGTCGACGTTGTGAAAAAATCATAACGTCGGAGGTCTGGGGACACTGATTCGACACTCTTTCGACACTCTCTCGACACTCTTCCGGGTGCTCGACATTATTCCTGGGATGTGGTCCTCAAGTACGATGGGAACAACATCACTCCAGGCGGTGGATCTCCCTGACTCCAGATCCGCCCTACTGTGGCTTCTTTTCCAGCTTAAACTTGCGTCGGAAATCCACCTATAAGAAGCCGAAAAAGTAGGGCGGAAATTTCTGCACCCAACATGAAGTAGGGCGGAAATCCACAGAAGCAGGGCGGAAACGGCAACAGAAAAGTAGGGCGGAAATTGGCATCCGCGGGACTTGAAAGGTAAGGCGGAAATTCCAGGCCCTACTTACGAATTTCCCTACGTAAACTAGGGCGGATCCGGAGTCAGGGCACCAGAAAGAATTCCGAGCACCAAAAAAGTACCCAAGCTCGAGGGCTCGACACTCTTTCGACACTCTTTTTCGACACCCTTCCGGGTGCTCGAAATGATTCCTGGGACGTGGTTTGGTGGTCTCCAAACCAGGTGGTGAGACATTCGGTGGTGACCCCGACTCCCCCCAAAAATGAGTTTGGGTCACCACCGGGTTTGGGGACACGCAGTCGCCACGAGGTTTTGCGTTTCCTGGGCCAGCCAGCGCTCGAAAACCATTGCCCAAATCGCCCAAAACTCACCACCAGGTGTTCTCACCACCACGTTTGGGGACCACCAAGTGGTCCTCAACTACGATGCTCCAGGCGGTGGATCTGGACGTCTTTCCCGGCCTCGCGGCAGCTGGGCTTTGAAACGCACCCTCGGGGGCGGAAAAGAGGGGGGTGATGACTAGGGGGGGGGATATCATGGCGGGGG